TGTATTTCAAGGGAAGGATCAGCTCTACTCATATCATCGTGGGAAATTTCAATTACCTTCATCACCTTAAGCGAAATAGTGTGAATATATCTCATAAAACTGATTTACTGGTAGTCTCTAAATCCTCAATAGCAGCACTGTGGGAACCCCAACCATAACTTTTTCCATATGAAGAGCAAGATATGGTGGTCTTTGTTTTAGTCGCGATCCGATGATGGCTGCGTCCAACGACGTCATCTTAGCAACACGAAAAAATAGCGAAAACGAGATTAGACCGTTTCTATCAGTCATCAAATCATCTTAAACGACTTAGGCTGAATAGGCTCATATATATGAATTATTGGTAGCCTCGAAAACGACTTATATCGAAAATATTTTGTAATAATTACTTTGAGGCATAGCAGGCATTTAAACAGGCACTTAAACGTATACTGGTGCTAGCACATGCACACCAACCCATAGACAAACACAAACATAAATGTCATATTTTATTTTTATTGGCAAGTAGATATATATGCATGATAGATGTGTAGGATAGTGCTGGATGGTTTTCCTGACTTGGTGTTAACTTGAAGCTCTTGTAATAGTAACTTCCAAAACTGCGTCAATCAAAACGCAGTATTAAAGCGAAACAGCTGGCGAATAACGCTAATCAGCCGCTGACGAGATCAACTAACCAACTTTTTCAGTATACACTTTCACACCAAATAAAAATCTTTTCTAAAGATTAATCAAAACCAAGCAAATTTTCGTACCTGAATGTCGATGAGGCATTGTTTTGCCTGATTCGAAATGGTTCGCTTTATTTCAAGGCAGGAGGACAGGATGTGATCAGCTTTGGCCTTTAAAGGATCGAAAGGTACAGATTCCGTCTGGCCCTGGCATCCAGACAGCATAGAAAGCAGGCGCAGTTCGTTGGCCGGACAGAAGATATCATTTTCGCTCCTCTGCTCTGATGATGCCACAGTGGATTCGGACCTCCTGGCCTCCTCCAACGGTTGGTCAGCTGCATCAGCCTCTTGCCCATCTCTCTCGGCCGCCACAGAGTCTAGCCGAAGAGTGAGGCTCAAGTCGGCCACTTGATGCTCCGTTCTTGTCAGCCATTCAAGCCATTCTGAGAGTCTGGCGGCCCAGGCCTCAGCCGAGGCTATCCGGTTCTCCAAACAGCCGCGCAATCTGGCCAGATCATCGTAGATCGACGACCAATCAGCTTGCGCTCGTCTTCCCGCCTCGGTGGCCATGCGGAGAGCGATGAGCAGAGGCGGATTCGGCAGCGGAAAAAAACCGCCAACGGCAACATGTCCAGCGTCGACGCGCACGCAAGTGTTGTCGCTAGAGGTGGCCGCGGCGTCGG